ACACCAAGCTCATCAAACATTTTTGTAGAATCTTCCATGAACACTCAATCATCTGAATATGAACATCTTGCATCTTAGCTGCCCAAGCAAAAGCCGTGGAGAGTGTACTATATATGGAAAATTCATCGGTTGTTAAGCGTATGAATTACGTATATCCAATCACTACATCATTATAAATTTTGAATATTACCGTTCTTTGATCTCTTCAAGATCGTAAAACTCCAGGTCAAGGTAAAATCTAGAACATCCACCTCCATTCATGAGACATGGTTTCCTTGTAAAATATTCAATTCGATGAGATCAGTTATATTATTAACCATCTTAATCTTTTTTTAAAAAAATTCGATGAAGTCATATAAGTCAATAGCTTTATACTCATCAACCCGCCAAAACCTCGAAACAAAAAACGTAACACAGGATCACGATGGTACGAACGATCATATTCTCGGTTGACCCATACTCTCATAAAATAATCGCCAAATCTCCAACCGCGCAACATCTCAATTTCAACCCCCTTTTAATGCTCAAACCAAAACAAAACGTCATAAATAAATAAATTCTGGAATAAAAATTCAAAAGGAAACCTATGATTCTTTAATATTAAGTAAACACAGTTGCATTATCCCTATCGAATTGCCCAGAAACATAAGGGATCTATTTAAGACCGCCAATATAGACGATAAATCCTACCGTATCTAGATCTGAAGTATTTGATTTATTAGCTAACCCATAGGTTCATTAGAACCAAACAAACAAAAAGTAGAAATCGAAGACGTACCAATTAGAATTTCGGTCAAGATCCTCCATCCCATTATAAAGCTAAATCTTTCAGGCTCAAAAAACCTACTTGGTGACCGCTCATATGTGCTCGTCATTTTAGTCGGTCTATGGAACCATAGACGGAACATATTGGACGTGTTACTCAATATCTCCGGCAAGTAAAGAACCAAAAAAATAGTGTACAAAGTACCATGAGTCCTCTCTCAGGCCAGTTATATTATCATGATCAAATGGACCACCAGAAATAGTAGCTTTGATTTTTGTCTCCTAAAAAATAAGAAGAAGATAAGTATAAAGTACGTAAGGCAAATTACGATAAAAGATAATGTCGAAGCTGAAAGTAGTTTTTAACCTCTAGATCCACAAGTATCATCTCCAATTTCTGGTTAGTTCTCCCGAAATTTTCAAACCAAAAAACCAAAACCTTAACACAAATGACGCGATTTCTAACATAAGGAGTGAGATCGTCGACCCTTGTTAACGTCGGCATTTTTTTGCTACGTTGATGTAATATGTTAGGAATCAAACCGTAGAATATTTGGTGTTCTCTCGTTGCTATGTTTTATGAGGACACTGACCAAAGCAAAGAGCCTATATATATTGTAAAACATTATTCAGTTGGCATATCTACTATACACGTTTTCCAAACACGACTCTAATATAGAAAATCTAAAGTTCATACGGGTAAAGACAAATGACAGCTCAAAACAAAAAAAAATCAGGCTTTTTACATGCACTTGTCCAAAAGCTCGTGCCATTTTGAATGACAATACACTGAAGACTTTGCTTGTTGTGAATGACAACACTCTTAATATTTACACTATTTTAGAAACAGATTCTTCTTGAATCATTCGTAATTTAGAGTGATAATTTAAAGACATTTAAGAAAAAATAGATTATATGGATATAGAATATATGGATATAACACCTATGGTTAGATGTCTTGACCCATATCAACGATATTTTTTCATATAATGTTTAGATATAAAACGGAAAATTAAAAAAAAACTTGTAACTATTAATAGAAAAAAAAATGCAACTAATTCGTAAGAGCAAAGCAAAACCTCGCTTCTTATTGTCCGCCATAGAATCTCCGCATGACCGAAACCTCAAGAAAAATATGATTGAAGAGGAATTGCGTACACCTTGAAGTTGCAGTAACATAGACTGTTTCTGTTAATGCGAAAGTTTAGTATTACTACAATTTAGGACAACTTATAGAAATTCTATAATTATAAAAAAAACAGTATAAGTACCTTGGATGACTTCCAATTTAGCAAATGTGATTATGATAATTTTGATATCTTCACAACAACTTGTCCTATCGTTTAAAAAACTATTAACATAGAAGCTCGGCAATCGACATGGTATACGTAAGCCACTTCAACACGAAAAGACAACAAATTAGGATCATTCCGTTAAAAAGGCAGTAGATTAAATAAATATGCACCATATGTCTTTAATTTGGAAAAAAAAAAACCGATGATTAACGTCAAGCTAATCATCTGCTCGAAGATGCACAATACGCACAAGTCTCCCAATCAAATGTATGGGTTTGAAATTAAAACGGTTTAATAAATAAACAAAAAATAAATTCTAATCAACATAAAACATATCACTTACCCACACAAAAATTAGGATCTATGCGACCTTGCTTGACATCACGAAACTTGATAAAAGTGAAGCAATCACTTTGGGAGAAAGACCTTAGTAACAAAAGTAAGCGCATTCAAACGAATATGAAATCTGTGTGTAGCTGGTCTAAAACACCCTCAGACAATTATGACATCAAACTCTGATAAGAGTACGCAATTTCCTTCTATGAGGATGGATGAGAAACGTTGCGCCACGTCCACATCAATTACGGCGTGTATCTTTTGGTGTTTTTAAGATTTAAATATTAGGTTGAATACTTATAGCAGAAAGCTTTGATGATAGTTAATAATTGTTTACCTTTGGATCTGCAAAGACAAATTTCACAAACCTATCGACTAACTCAGGGCACACGAACCTTCTAATAATTTTCACTTTAATATTCTTAGTAATCATGCTCGGGTTTAGATCCGCAAGATCAACACATACATCCAACTCTTCTTCAAATCCCGCAATGTTGCGAGAAGAGAGTTGAGACATTATAAGAAACAAAGATAGAGATCACCTCGTTTAATCGACTAATAGATACAAAGTTAGGAGATATAAGTACATTTATATATGAAAACAATTATCCGATGAATAAATATTGATAGAGATATTCATTGTTCATCCGATTTATGGAATCTAACATTATATTCAGAAATCTCAATCAACAATATTTTTTATATAGATTTTTTTTACTTTTTTTAGGCTGAAAGGAATATATGTATGATAACCTTTTCGATATGATAATATCTTGTTTACATTTTGTTTTATTAAGATGGTCGTTTTCTGTGAGAGAGGAAAAAAAATAGAAGCATGTCATTTCTTTTGAGTCGTGTATATCAGATCGATTTCGAAAATATCTTAATTTAATTATGCAGATCTAGAAAAAATTCTTTAATACATCCACGAAATAAAGAAAGAAAAGAACGGGATAAACATGCAATAGACACAAATAGAACATCAACCTGATCGGATCTATGAGTGCTTGGTTTATCAAATACATTGAAAAAGTCAGCGAAGACCAAATTAAGATCTATGAGTACTTGGTTTATAAAAAAAAATACTACATAAAAAGGATAAGAAAACATCTAAGATAACAACATCGTCAAAAGAAATAAAAACCGAATTTTGATAAGAACATTGGTTTGAACATCATTTGATCAAAACAAAACAACACACCAAATTTTAAAACATATAGAAAAACGAAATGATTCAGTACACGACAACACCATGCACACGTTTCGATCATCGGAACCGGTGGAACCTGCCTCATTAGCATCTTCAGCGGCTAATGTAAAACCCAATATAAACAAATTATACGTCAACCACTATATAAATTATATTTTAGAAAATATACAGCAGACAAATCTCCAAAATCACACATAAATCTCTAGGAATTCTTCAACCTCAGGCATATCCGGATTGATATCCAACCGGCTGCATTTACCAACAGATTGAACAATGTTTCTTTCTGTCGTTATATAATCATTTATGTCATTAGAAAAATAGGCCGAGGTTTTTTTGTCTAGCCAAAAAATTATATAGTCAGTATATAGATCATATACGAATATTTGTGATTAAGAAAATCACCGGAAGATCTGTGAATTCCCCACCATTGTAGCATGCAGACAATTCATTCACCCCTACCTCTTCTCCATTCATCATGAAATTATTCCCCGAAACTCCCGATTGCAATACATTCGATAACATTGTTGTTGGAACATTTAACGTATAGGTTTGCTTGTCAATTGATTTTAGAAAATATATGCATATAAGCGATTAAATAAAAAACTTACTCAGTATCTTGAATCTTGAACATAGTTATAACAAAATCATAGATTTGTCTGCTTGGATCAAAATAAAGAACATGTTTTGGACTAAGGGACCAACAGCCCATACGTCGAGTCCCTCGTTGGTAATACCCTCCAAAACAGACTCTGGTGACATGATATAGGGATGTCCTAAGGGCTATTTCCATTGCTCCACCGGCTATTGTCACCAATCCTTTTCGACATTCCAAATTAAAGTCGCTAATTTTTGCATCCAATCCTCCTTCGCAATGGAAAAGTAACACATTGAAGCAATGAAGGTCACCGTGAACAAAGCCAGCTCGATGTCCGATTGAAGCCCTTCGAGTATCATCCACGAGAAACGGTGACTCAGGTCTATGGGAAAGCTGTTATGATGCTTCATATCTCTTCGAAAAGTGTTCCGGGCGCATACTCCATAAAGAAGGCATAAGTTCTCGGACAAGGCTTATGTATTGACATTTGTATGCATTGAACAACTCCAATTTAAGAGTAGGTGCTAAAATCTTCTTTACTGTCCCAGGGCATAACTCCAAATCTATTTGATCATGCAAAATCTCTTCTGCTCCTAGTTTTGCTCTTGCTAATGCCATTTGTTTAATCTCTTCCAAAAATTCTGCACAACTATGAGTAGTAAGCAAACCAAACACATCAAGAACTTCTTTCACTGCTTTCTCGATCTCGACCAGTGACAGCACCATCGGCATCAGACGTCTGTTATCCTATGTCTTGTGCTCTTTGATTACCTTGCTAATGAAGCGCATCATATCTTCAAAATCCCCTTTAAATATATTGTCAGTATTCAAATCATCAGACAGATGTTTTTGAAGGTGATTTTCAGCTTCTCTATCCTATCCATGGCTTTACATCTACTTCAACAATGCTACTAGAAGTGGAGGGCGAGCTTTAGCAAGACCTTGTAGTGTCTGCGTAAACAAAGATTACAGGGTTGCAAACATTGCAACTGTCTCTACTGAATAGATGCTAAAAGAAAAGGTATGGGCACTACACCTGATAAACAGAAATTAGAGCATCCGACGAACTTTATAGCTGCAACACTGAATATTCCAGAGGAGATCGGTAGTGTGCACTCATCAAGAAGTGTCTCAGAGCCAGTGGATGGTACTTAGCCATGATCTACACAGATTCAAATATTCAGCAATTAGCCATGAGAAATCACACACCCAAAGAAGACTTTGTTTATGATAATTGAGCAAAGAAGAAACACACTTGTCTAAACGTAACATAGTTGTGCAGTGAATTTCCCAACTCCTCGTTGTTGTTAGTAACATGCGCATTATGCAACCAGTAAGTCACACCACTATCTTCATAAGCAGCAAATGTCTGGGCGATCACATGTTCTTGATGCGGGGACTTTAGATATGTGCCACCACTGAGAATGTCAAATCTGGGAGACAGATAATGGGTTCTCATTGTGCTACACCCAATGTGCCATCCTGGTCTTCCTGGACCCCAAAGGCTCACCCAGTTTAGTTAACCGGGTTCTGCAGCTTGCATGAATGTATATATTAACAGCATAAACTCCAAAGGTTCCTCACTCAGAGACAAGTTTAGGTGACAAACCTTCCACAATGCAAAGTTAGCAGAGTTGCGCTTCTTTGGATCAACAGCAAGACACGTTTGATCCAACAGTTGCCCATATAATTGACCATAATTGGGTGATTTATCCACTGAGAAGAATACATCACCCTCCACTACATACCCGCAATCATTCTCAATGATCTATAAGAAGGAAGTTAGATCATAGTGCTTACAGAATCATCATTATATCAAATACTGAAGAAAGAAGATAGCAGCTAGCATTACCTTGTTAATCATGTTTATAATGGAATTTATGTGTTCACTAGTCTGGTGGTCTTTGGGTAAGGGGCATTGAAGAGCAGTCAAATCAGAAAGACAGTCCTCAGAGATTATTCGAGTGAAACTGATGGTTTGTTAGCTTGGTTGATTAGCTGAAAATGTAGAGAAAAATGTTGTAAACAAGGCCCCAGTTTCTTAAAAAACATCACAACACAAGAAAATGTCATCATACCATGTTACTGAAATGGGTAAGATTGGGAACATACTCAACTGCATAACCCAAGTGCATCAAGTATCTGCATAAGAGGAGAAGACTTGGGTTTAGAAGTGGAAATATGAAAGCATTTATCATGACATCATATAACATAGACTCATGCATATACCTTGTTCATTTTCCTTACTCAAACATTGTAACATACAGCAAAAATTCTACTTTACTGACTATTTAAAAACAAATCGACCCACAAATCATCATTACATTGAATCTCCTGGAAAAAATATGTTCCAGAAGGTAGCATACAATTTCTATTGAAAGTATGTTTCGTTTCAATGCAAGTAAGATTTTTTCCTCAGTAAGGAAGACAAATAAAACTATGGAACCAACAAAATCATTAAAACTATGCAGGAGAAAAAAATCTTCCCAATTCATAGTTCATACATATCACATTAAACAACTCAAGAACATTCGACAGATTAAAGATAATTAAAGTCAAGAAAACTAGCGAACCCTTAATTTTTGATAAAAAAAAAAAAAAACCATTAATTTGACGACCTAGAGAACTCGGGTTTAGAAATGGAAATATGACATGCCTATAAAGTATGGCAAACACCACAGCAGCTCAAGCTTCACTCACACACACGTACATCCCCATTTTCATGTTGTTGTCTAAGGGCTTCACAACTTCCTTCTCTCGAGTCAATATGTTGTACAAACTCAACTTCTCCTTCTCCATTTTGCAGTTTTGCTCTGGCGGACTGTAGAAATTGCAACAATTCACTATATGATATAATGTTTAAGACAACATCTTTGGAGAAAATAACATATGCGGTTTTAGTAGATAAGATCTGTAAGAAGTACTATAGATGGTGCGACAATGAAGCTGAAATTGAGTTTCATGATATCTAAAGCATGGAGAGAGTCTTATATTCTAGATGATGAAGATGTTTGTATATTCTTAACATCATTGGATAAAGAGGGTTTTAAACCAATTTTGCATGATGGTGGAGCAAGTTCCAAGAGTATAGAGAAGACGTTCATGAGGTTTGAATTCTGGGAAGTGGTTGCCAATGATGTAAGGATTGATGATGTAAGGACTGATGATGTAATTAATCAAGGAATCTTGAGTACGTTTAGATGGGGAAAACATCAGAACAAGAGAAAGAGCGTGAGATATATAATGAACCTATTATTGAACAGATGATGATAGAGAATGGTGTTAATGAAAATTGTGAGAATGCTGTTAGGCATGAATATGTTGAGCGTTCACGTTCTGAACAACAAAGTGAGGATACAATTAAAGAATGGGAAGATGGTATGGATTTGGAAAAAGATCAAGAATTTCATTCTAAGGAGGCAGTAAGGGATTGGATTAATAGAGCTGCAAAGGCGAACTTGTTTGGTGTGAAAACTGTGAAATCGGACCTAGTGCGACTTATGATAGAATGCAGTCAAGCTTACATGAGTTGTGAATGATATTTAAGAGTTGCTAGAATTCAAAAATCAGATTTTGGAGTATAAGAGTACGCAGAAAAATGTATACATGCTCTAGGTGTGAGGAAAGTACTAGATTTAGTAAACAAAAAAGCACACCACGATTAGTAGCAAGTGTTTTGCATGAGGACTTCCTAGGTTAATTGGAAACACCATCTCCTAAAAACATCATGAGTCTTGTTAAAAGAAGACTTCGTTTGGATTGTTCCTACTCCACCGTCTTGAGAGGGAAAAAAACATGTTAGTGATGTGCGTGGGAGCCCTGACGCTGGCTACACGATGTTGTTTGCTTATCTGCACATGTTAAGGGAGGTGAATCCTAGGATAGTAACGGAAGTAAAATTGGATGAAGAAGAGAGGTTCAAGTACCTATTTATCGCTTTAGGCGCAAGCATTGAAGGGTTTGGGGGCAATGAGGAAAGTGTTAGTGATTGATGCAACTTTTCTACAAACTGTATATGCTGAGATGTTAGTTATTGCAATAGCTCAGGATCCTAATCATCACCATTACCCCCATTGCATTTGATGTAATTAATAGTGAGAATCATACTAGTTGGAATTGGTTTTTTAGAATGTTGAGAACCGTCAAACCGAATGAAGGTGGCTTAGTTTTCATAAGCGACATACATAAAAGCATCATCAAGGTAGTCATAGATATGTTTCCAAACGCATCACATGGACATTGTATATGGCATTTGTCCCAAAATCTTAGGCCAAAGTTGACTAGTGACAATGAAGTAGGTGTTGACAAATTCAGGGAATGCGCTCATGTGTATACTAAGAGTGAGTTCAACATTAAGTATGGTGATTTTAGGAGAAGGTATCCTAGAGCTGCTGAATATTTGGGTAACTCAATTGGGATTGAAAAATGGGGTAGGAGTCATTCTGAGGGAGACAAGTACAACATAGATACTAGCAACTTCGCAGAGTCAATGAACGCTGTGTTTAGGGAAATAAGGAAGTACCATCTATTACCGATGATTGATGCGATTATGGATAAGTTTTCAGAATGGTTCAACAAACATCAGAAAGATTCTACTACTGCATCAAACACAATGCAAGTGGTGTCTGTTGTGGAGAATATATTACACCTTCGATGTCCTATTGCTGCGAAGTTAGGGGTCACTGAACTTAACAGCTACCGACGTGAATATAGCGTAATTAGAGTTGATGGTTTAACCTATTTGGTGGACTTGGATATGAAAACATGTACTTGTACGTGTTTTGATATAGACAAGTACCCGTGTATCCATGATATAGCCGCAACCATGCATAAAACATTGTCGGAATGAATGGAGAACAACGACTGTAAGTATATATGGTCTTTGTTCAAAATATTACTTGATCGAGACGTGGGCATTGGCATATTACAGAACGATTTATGTGGTGCCACATGAGTCTCATTGGATTTTTCCAGCTGACTATGAGAAAAAGATCGCAAAATCGCCAGATTATAAAGAAAAAAAAAGTAGGAATCAAAAAACCCGATTTCAATCCACCGAGGCAAAGCGCCAAAAGACGACTAAAAAAAAGGTTCAGCTTGGCATAAGCTTGGAGAATTAGTCCCACATGTTCAATAAATACAACCGCCAAATATAATTTATATTAATATAATTATTGATATTATATATTTGTTTTTAAAACAAAAGGAAGAAGAGCTAGGGTTTTCGAGATATTTTGTTCTTTTACTCTCGCTCTTTCCTTAACTCTCTCTCTCTTTCCTGCTTTCTTTCCTTAACTCTCTCTCTCTTTCATAGATTTAATTATATTATAATATATTTATGTTATATGAGATATACATATATGTTTAAATTTGTGCATTTATAATAAAGTTTTTATTATATAATATATATGTGATATATGATATATATATATATATATATATATATACGTAAGTTGCAAAAAATGAAGAAAAAAGATAATTGGGCTTTGGCCCATTATCAAACCTAAGTTTAGGTTTAATGTTTGACTATATATATTGATATATTGTCAACCTTTGTAGTAAGTTTTTGAGCAGCCAAACCCTAAACATAAGAGATAAAGAATTTGTCTAAAGTTTTGAGATCTGATTTCTATACGGCGCTAGCATTCCGTTTGATCCAGTTTCTGTGCGTGTGGATACCGGTAGAGGCACAACTCTTGGGGTGCTAGAATAACCTCGAAAAAAATATGGTTCACCTTTCCGCTGCAGAATATCTAGGTATATTGAAACCCTATGGTCTAGAATTAATTCTTTATTTGCACAGTTCCTGGCAATTGAATTCGTTATTAGTATTTATAAATCGTTATAAATCGGTGCGAATTCCTACAGTGGTATCAGACCTTATGTGTTTAATATTGAAACTAAATCTATGAATTCACATATTATATTTGATAATATGTAATTCCGTTAAACATACATAATTTTATGAAATTTATTAATTCTGGTAATCTTTGTAATATGATTATAAATGTTTAACATGATAGATAAAACTATTTGAAGAATATAATAGTTAATCGATTTGATCGATGATCGGCATATTTTAACTATAGTCGTTTATGGTACTTGATTGATCTACCTATATGACAACGTTTCATTATCAATCAATGTTTATATTATATTCTTAGATACATATAAAATCTCGTAACTAGAATTATATTATATATATAATATGTGTATGTCAAGCTACGTGGCTCATATAGAGATGGAAAAAAACCTGGACGCGCGCGATACCGACTAACTTAGGCGACTACGTATATAGTCGTCATTTTTAGCGACTGTATGGTCACTGATTTACGACTACTTTACGACTAAACTTATATAGTCGTCCATTAGTCGTTAAAAACCGACCAAAATCAATAGTCGTACTATTAGTCGTTAAACAACGACTATTAGGCGAATAAGTTGTTAATTATATGTTGGTGTTGCACAACAGTCGCCAAATTAGCGACTACGTAAACGACCGAAATATTTAGTCGTCCAATTAGCGACTAATTAGTGACTTATTTGGCGGGTCGTAAGGTAGTCGCAAATAACAGTTAGATACGCACGTTTTTTTCGTTGGGTGGTAGGTGTATCTACTTTTATGGCGACTACGGCTTGTAGTCGTTATTTAGTCACTGTGAAAATGTCTATATAAAGAAAATTCTGCAACCCCTCTCTTCATTGTGCGAGCAACCAAAAAAATAAAATAAAAAAAAACGTTAAGAAAAAAAAATTTCCAAAAAAATTCCAAAAATTCCAAAAAAAATTCCAAATTTTTTTTTTTTAGTAATGGCGGGAAATTACAATTATGGCGGTAATGGCGGGTTTTATCGGGAGTGGATGTACAAGAGGTTCGATGAAGCGACGGGAAATTTTACGGCTGAATTTGAAGCAGGAGTTGAAGAATTCATGACGTTTGCTAATAGCCAACCAATAGTCCAGAGTAATCGGGGTAAATATCACTGTCCTTGTAGTGTGTGCAAGAACGAAAAATATATTGTTTCCGGTAGAAAAGTTATGAGTCATTTGTTTACTCATGGATTTATGCCTGATTATTATGTTTGGTATAAGCATGGAGAAGAGATCAATGTGGATATAGGAACGAGTTATAATGATAGGACGTATAATGATAGGACGCATGATGATAGGAATCACGAAGATGTGGATATAGGAACGAGTTTAAAAACTATATAATTATGTCTTAATTATATTAATTACGTTTTAATTATATTAATTAATTTTACCGACTAATTAATGACTAATCGGCGACTATATTTTGTTATTAGGCCGAAGCCCAAATATTGAGCCCAAACCACCGACTGTTGTCCGACTCTTAATGGGCCAAAACAACTAAACCCTAAACCCATTAAGAGAACCCCTATAAAAGGCTAACCCTAATCGCCTCTGCAATTTCTTCTCTTCCTCTTCGCCTTCTTCCTCTCCGTCTGCGAGAAACCCTAGTTCCTTTCCTCTCCGTCTTCTTCCTTCGATCTTCTCTTCCTCTTCGTCTTCTTCGAAACCCATACAAACCCATTCCTCTCCTTCATTTGTTCATCTCGAAACCCTAGATTACAGTTTCTCAATCTTCGATTTCATCTCCAAACCCTAGCTTTCATCTTCTCAGTCTTCGATCTACACTTCTCAGTCTTCGATCTACTATTCCCTCATTCATACGATGCCTAATCCTGGCCACAAGAGGAAAATCGCACCTAATCTATCACAGAGACCCGGAACCACCACGGCTGGTCAACGACCTAGCACTCTACCACCGCAGTACAATTTCACGCCGGCGGTCCAAGCTCCTCAACCGCTGCAGACGCTTGAAGAACCAATACCCGTGTTGCCGGTATAGTCAACGACTGCCCATGTCCGTCAATATCCTCCTCCACAACAACTCTTCCAGAACTCCACTAATCAACGACCTCGCGTAGAGGCAAACAATTCAGAAGAAGTCCAGTTCAATCCACAGAACATGGCCAATCCTCAGCAGGACGCTCCAGCTTCTCATGTCCAACAGTCTCCGGCTCAGAGTCATCCATCGTTCCAAGATGAAAATGCTCTGGTGCCTGAAATTACCGAGGATAACCTGCGTGCTCTCAATGCCCTGCTTCTGGTCCCAGACCGGGATAAGTTCACCACTGTCCTCTCTCCCACACCCGTACCAGAGACGACATGGTAAGTTTATCTGCTTTTGATTAAAGTTTTGTGAAAAATGTTGTTTGGTTGTTGTTTACGGATTAGTGTGAATTGTTTTGTGATGGTTTAAAATGTGTTTTGTGATTGTTTGGTTTGTGATGGTCTCAGATTGGACATGTAATAGTTCTGTGAATATGTGTTGTGATTGTTTGGAGTATAATGGTCTCAAATTGGTAATGAAATAGGTCTCTGAATTGTTCAACTGAGAGATTAGGTGTCTGATGGGTTATGGTTCAAGCTTAGGTGTCTAATGAGTTATGAGATTCGATGTCTGATGGTTTATGAGATTGGTCTTTGATGTTGAGTTATGATGAGAGTTTGTAGTCACAGTATCTGTTTTGCTTCTATTATCTCCTTCTTTCTTTTTTTTTAAGTGTCTCCGACTGTTTTAACCTCCTTTCTTGTTTATTGTTTCATGTATTTGGAGGTATGATCGTGACAAAGGATCAAAACTGGTTCGGAAGATTACTAAGGTGATTAAGAACAAATTCGATGCTCCCTACTACAGCTGGACCTGTGTGCCTCGGGACAAACAAGAGAGATACTTCCTCGAGTTCGCGGTACAGTTATATGTCCTTTAGCCTTTCTATTTATGTTTACTTGTTTTTTTTCACTCACATTAGCTCTTTCTTTTTTTTGTAGAAAACCCACACCTGGGATCCCTTGATAACAGGGACTGTGCAACAACATTTCGAGGAAATCTGTCAACGGAAAATGAAGGACATGGTCAGCAATGCGAGGACAGGTTTAGAGCGACCTGAGTGGATTGGAACGCACTGTCTGGAAAACAATGACTGATTACTGGGACACTGAAGAAGCAAAGGCAAGGAGTCAGACCTATTCAAATGTCCGTATGTCTGACCGTAACGGTCTCGGGCCTCACATCCACTTCTCAGGTCCAAAGTCGTTTCAACAAGTAAAAGATGAATTGGTCAGTAACTTTAATAGTTATGTTCTTTCTTCTTGTTACAACTTCACTGTCCTTTTAAAACTGACATATCCGTTTTTAATGTTATTAATCCTTGTTGCAGGAGGAGGAATTGGGAAGACCGGTCAGTCTTGGTGAGGTATTCATCAAGACACATACAAGGCCTGATGGTACTTATGTTGATCGAAAGGCGGAGAAGATTGCTAAAACATATCACCAGAATGTTCAAGAGAAGTTGTCTGAGCTCGAGGCTGAGGCTGCGATTGATACTTCTGCTGTTTCTGATGGTGCTTCACGACTACGGGAGCTAACAACCGAAGAATATACAGCCATCTTCCTTAAGGTTATGATTCATTTTTTCCCAAAACACTCTCTCTATATTCTATGATTCTCTTTAATATCATGCTCTAATCTCTGGCTTTCCCTAACTTTTCAGTCTACTGATAGGGATTCAAGAGGAAATTTTTATGGAGTTGGAAACCTCAAAGACTGTCTGGTCAATGGCAAGCGCAAGCAACCCGATTCAGCTTCTTCTTTTGTGTCTCTGCAAGAACAATTGAAGGAAGCTCAACGCAAGATAGAAGATCAGGCAGCGCGTGAGGCTGAGCAATCTCGGGCTGTGGCTGAGCAGAAGGACAGGCTCGAGCAGTTGTCTCTGGTGGAGAAGTATCTACGTCAAACAGATCCGCACTTCCTCGACTTCATGGCAAGTCAGTCTGCTAAAGAGCCAACCTCATACCCTCTCTCAATAACTCTTCCCCTTGATGATACAACTACAACTCCATCTCCATCTGCTTCATAGGTTGAGATGTCTTAACTCTTTTCTGAACTTAAACTCTATGCCTCTCTTTTCAGAACTTAAACTTTATGCCTCTCTTTTCTGAACTTAAACTCTATGCCTTATGTTTCTGACTTTCTGTAGCTATATGGAACAAAAACTTAATGTTGTTTTGGTTGGGTTTGAATGGTTTTAGTTTCAGTTTAGTTGTGGTTTTGTTTATATTTTTGGATTTGGTTTTAGTTTCAGTTTTGGTTTCATTGATTATTAGCATGTAGTCGTAAAATAGCAACTACAAATGTACCATATTTTAAATCGGAAAGAACTGTAGTCACCAAATTAGTCGTATATATGGTCACTATATTGTCACGGATTAGTCGCCATTTTTAAGGACTGCACACTGACTAAAAATAAGAGCTACAAACATAGTCGCTAATTATACATCAAAGAGTCATTACAAATTTGGCGACTACGAAGTGACTATGATTTATAGCTTCAATATTAGTCACTGATTAGTCGTTAAATATACACTAAACATTTGGCGACTATTTAATGTCTATCTTTAGAAGACCATTTGATCAACTGAGTTAATCATAATTTAGTCGTAACTCAGTCATCTATTATTACGACTATCTGACGTCTACCTTATGACTAAATTCTCGTTGGCTACTTTAGTCGTACATTAGTCGCCTGTTAGCGACTACAATAACGACTACCTATTTTAGCGACTAGCGATTTACAACTACAAGAATTAGTCGCCAAATAGTCGTTAAAGTCAGTTTACCGACTATTCTGCTACTAATATGGTAGTCGTTATCTGCCTGTTTTCTTGTAGTTAATTATATAAGCTACGTGATTTTGAATTGGAATTGTTCCTATTATTTGATTTTCGTTTTGTTATAACACATTCACGTGAACATTGAAGTTATAGATAGTTAATGAATTAAATATATCATTGATGTTGAAGAATATGTATATATAGATATTTATATGTTCGTTCAATAATTCTAGTTAAAGTAATTAGAATAATATATTAATATTTAATATATGTATAGAAAATTACGGGTATATGAGATTCTTTTTTATTTGAATTTGTTCTTTATGCGAAAAAATCAGTTACTATAAAGATAATTAAATATAATATATTTGATTTGTGATTTATCCTTTTAATAAGGAAAATGTCAATGGTCGTAATAATTGTTTATGGGTTTTGATTTGATCATAATCATACTTGTGATTATAATAATTCGATAGATCCTAATTAGATTAGGATAAGTTCGAATATAATGCGATTTAATTTGATTAGAGCTATTGAAATTTAATTAAGATTGATTTTCTAAATAACTAATAATTTTAGTTCTATTAAAATTAATTAAATTGTTTATAAATTTAATTAATTACATATTAGATATGTATTAGTTATATTTTTATTTATATTGGATATAAATTTAATTATAAAATTAAGTTATAAAACTAATTCCTCAATTAATATCAAATATTTGATGTCTCTCCAATTTTATCAACTGTTAAAACTTAAATGGTTGTATGGCGGGTTTGCCAAAGCAGTGGTCTGCAATTGTTTAAGAGTGAGACAAATGGTAATAGTTACCATATGAAATAAAATTGGTTTACTTGACTAGGCTATCAAAACGGTTTTGGGCCTAGAGACATAAAGTTGGATAAGACATAAGATGTCATCCACAACCAAAAATTATATTAGATATAATTAGCAAGGTGTTGCTTACCTAAATAGCTAGATATTCAGGGGTGGAACCAAAGCTCACTTGGATTCTAGTGAAATATGGATCTTGGATCATTGTACTCATTAGAGGAAATTTTGTTTTTGAGTATAGTGTTAGTTTTCTTAATTGTTAAGAATTCTAAAATTTATGAACATCATATTAATTTCTGCTTTTCTTTTTCGACGGTTATGTCAAACTTTCAAAGTTCTTATTCATTCTGAGATGTTCTTGAGAAGGACAAATTGAATGGATCAAACTCTCTTGAAAACTTGGAAGATCTAGAGAAGAAGAAAACATTCAAGATTTCTTCTTCGGGTATTCATGTTATAGAAGTAAATATTACTACTTCTGGTTCTACTCCTTGCGTATTGGATACCAGTTGTGGTGCTCACATTTGTGTAAATGTCTATGGCCAAAACAACAGTAGAACTTTGGAGGAAGGACAAGTGGACCTACGTGTGGCTAATAGAGCAAAAGTTTCTGCATTAGCCGTGGGAACATATTCTTTGTATTTACCATCAGGCATGGTTTTGGAGCTTAAGAACTGCTACTATGTTCCTTCTATAAACAAGAATATCATATCCGTTTCATGTTTGGATATGGAAGGTTTTCACTTTTCGATCAAAAACAAGTGTTGTTCATTTGATCGAGATGATATGTTTTATGGTAGCGCTCCATTAGAGAATGGGTTTTATGTTCTAAACCAAAGCATGCCAATCTATAACATTCGTACCAAGAGATTTAAGTCTAATAACTTGAATCCAACTATTCTCTGGCATTGTCGTTTGGGCCTTATAAACGAGAAACGCATTCAAAAGCTTCATAGTGATGGACTTTTGAACTCATTTGATTATGAATTTTATGAGACATGTGAATCTTGTTTGTTGGGAAAAATGACTAAGGCCCCATTTACTGGACATAGTGAGAGGGCTAGTGACTTATTGGGCCTTATACATACAGATGTATGTGGGCCAATGAGTACAAGCGCCAGAGGAAACTATCAGTACTTCATTACATTTACTTATGACTTTAGTAGATATGGTTATGTTTATCTAATGAAACATAAGTCGGAATCCTTTGAAAAGTTCAAGGAGTTCCATAATGAAGTGCAAAATCAACTTGGTAAATCAATTAAAGCTCTTCGATCAGATCGAGGAGGAGAATATTTGAGCCAAGTTTTCAGTGATCATCTCAGAGAATGTGGAATTGTTTCAAAGCTCACCCCTCTGAGAACACCACAATGGAATGGTGTGTCTGAAAGGAGAAATCGAACTTTATTGGATAGTTCGATCGATGATGAGTCACACATATCTTCCATTATCCTTTTGGGGATATGCTCTAGATACTTCTGCGTTTATGCTAAACAGATGTTCATCAAAATCAGTTGAAAATACACCATATGAGATATGGACTGGAAAAGTTTCTAATTTATCTTTTCTCAAAATTTGGGGTTGTGAAGCTTATGTCAAACGATTGATTACTGATAAGCTTGGACCTAAATCTGATAAATGTAACTTCGTAGGTTATCCTAAAGAGGCCAAAAGTTATTACTTTTACCATCCTATTGACAACAAAGTGTTTGTTGCTCAAAATGGTGCCCTTTTGGAAAGGGAGTTTCTTTCAAAAGCAACTAGTAGGAGTAAAGTGTTACTCGAAGAAGTTTGAGAACCACAGGAGAATGTTCCAACTTTTCAGGAAGAACATCAGTTGGATCTACGAAGAGTCGTAGAACCTACACCTGAGGTACGTACGTCCGAAAGGAACCGGCACGAACCCGATAGATTTGGAGATTGGGTGACGGATGATCATGATTTATTGATTATAGAGAGTGATGAACCTACGTCATATGAAGAAGCAATGATGGGCCCCGATTCCGATAAATGGTTAGAGGCCGCGAAATCCGAAATAGAATCCATGTCACAAAACAAAGTATGGACTTTGGTTGATTTACCTGATGGTGTAAAAGCCATTGAGTGTAAATGGATTTTCAAGAAGAAAATTGACATGGATGGTAATATACATATATACAAAGCTAGACTGGTGGCGAAAGGCTACAAGAAAATCCATGGTATTGACTATGATGAAACATATTCACCAGTCGCAATGCTTAAGTCCATTCGGATTTTCCTAGCAACAGCTGCTCATTATGATTATGAGATTTGGCAAATGGATGTGAAAACAGTTTTCTTTAATGAAAATCTTGAAGAGGATGTGTACATGACACAACTTGAAGGTTTCACTGTTCCTGAAGCTGCTAGGAAGGTATGCAAACTTCATCGTTCCATTTATGGATTGAAGCAAGCATCTCGGAGTTGGAATCTTCGTTTTAATGAGGCGATCAAAGAGTTTGATTTTATTAGAAACGAAGAAGAACCTTGTATTTACAAGAAGACTAGTGGGAATGCAGTCGCATTTCTGGTATTGTATGTAGATGACATACTGCTTCTTGGAAATGACATTACCTTGCTTCAGTCTGTTAAGACTTGGCTTGGAAGTTATTTCTCGATGACAGACTTGGGAGAAGCTGCCAATATTCTTGGAATAAAGATCTATAGAGATTGATTGAACAAAATAATTGGACTAAATCAAGATACTTATATAGATAAGGTCTTGCATAGGTTCAATACGCATGATTCTAAGAATGGCTTTATACCAATGTCTCATAGCATAACTCTTAGCAAGACTCAGTGTCCTTCGACACATGATGAGCGAGAGCGAATGAGTAAGATTCCTTATGCTTCTGCTATAGGATCTATCATGTATGTTATGCTCTGCACTCGCCCAGATGTTGCTTGCGCTTTGAGCATGACGAGCAGATACCAGTCTGATCCAGGTGAAAGTCATTGGATAGTAGTCAAGAACATCCTTAAGTACTTGAGAAGAACTAAGGATAAGTTTTTGGTCTATGGAGGAAGTGAGGAACTTGTTGTGAGTGGTTATACTGATGCCAGCTTTCAGACGGACAAAGATCCTTTTACAAAACCTCTTCCGCAGCCTAAGCATGAGAGTCATACTTCTGCGATTGGCATTAGATTTATAAAGATGTGATCTTTTTTCTAGTGAGAGGTTTTTATTTATGATATGATGTTCATGTTAAAACACATTTGAATTAATTTTCAAATTAATGAAATTTGTTTCAGTATTATTTATTTATTGGATAATTAAATAATAGTTCCAAAATAATTTATATCATTCTTATAGGCCATCAAGTACGTGACTTGATCATGAAACCCTATAAGTGAAAAATGACATAAATTATTGAAGTCCCTAGTCAAAGTTATTAAAATGGGACATTAATAACTAAGATTAGCTAGTATGTGAGGTGACTGATGACTACGTTTCATAGAGTCATTAATATGTGGTATTAAAGTCAATCACATAGATATGTGTTAGAGAATACGGTATTGGACTGACCCGTTATGAGAACTCTACTAGATTGTTATATGAGTGTCATAAGAGTTTCTCATCACAACTATAGAGTATAGTATTTTGACCTGAGTTCGTCATGATTTCTTATTCATGGATTAGTTCGCTTTGACTCTGTCAAACGTCAGCCGTAAAAGGTGATTATAAAGACAGTGATTGGGTGCGTTATGAATTGTATAAGGAACAGGGATGGAACAAGATGGGATTTGTCCCTTCCATATAACGGGAGATAAAAATCTCTGGGCCTATCGAAGATTTGATACTGAGAAATTCGTGGCCGCGCTCAAACGAGGTGAATGTCAGTCGTTTGTTTTTTATCAGTATAAATAAGAGTTCGATAACCATTGTCTAGCTTAATAAGGATGACAATTTATTGCCTTATGTTGAGATCGAGATATAGAGACAAAGGGATTATGAGAATAGATGATTCTAGTACAAGTGGGAGATTGTTGGGAATGTCCTGAAATCGTTTGTACTCTATTCTAGTTAAAGTTGTAATGTCGAGTTTGGCATTCGTATAATATTATGTTGTTATAATGTTTTCCTAGAGACCGCTTATAATTATGAGTCTAAAACTCATTGCTAATAGTATACGAACCTACAGGGTAACACACCTAAGCAGATTGGATCAATGTTGGGTTTTAATTATAATATAATATATATGTTATATGAGATATACATATATGTTTTTATTTGTGCATTTATAATAAAGTGCTTATTATAATATATATATATATATATATATATATATATATGTGTGCGATATATGATATACATATATGTGTACAGGTAAGTTGCAAAAAATGAAGAAAAAGGATAATTGGGCTTTGGCCTATATATCAAACCTAAGTTTAGCTTTAACGTTTGACTATATATATTGATATATTGTCAACGTTTGTGATAAGTTTTTGAGCAGCCAAACCCTAAACATAAGAGACAAAGTGTTTGTCTAAGTTTTGAGATCTGATCTCTATACGGCACTACCATTATGTTTGATCCAGTTTGTGTGCGTGTGGATATTGGTAGAGGCACAACACTTGGGGTGCTAAAATAACTTCGAAAAAAATATGGTTCACCTTTCCGCTGCAGAATATTCAGGTATATTCAAACCTTATGATCTAGATTTATTTCTTTATTTGCACGGTTCTTGTCAATTGAATTCGTTATTAGTATTTATAAATCGTTATAAACCGTTGTGAATTCCTACAATAAGATTAATTAAATTTTCATCTCTTCGTTATAGGCTTGTCCAGTACAATTAACATGGGTTCAAACCTGCATTGTATGTCGACAAATCATGAGAGTGAATGTGCCACATTGCAATGACAAGAATTAAAATGATCCGGGTACAAACCCGCATTGTATGTTCTTGACAAAAAAAATATAAAGCTAGACAAATTTTGCTTTGTAATACATGTACTAGATTTTAACCCGCGGTATACCGCGGGATGATTTAATTTTAAAATTAGTATAAAAATATTTTGTAAATTGTATCTCCTTATAACATATTTATTTATATTAGAGTTTATAATTGTTATTAAGTAACGGTATACCACGAGTCCACGAGACAATTATTAATAAACGGAGGATTTAACCCGTATTAAAGCGGTATATAAATATTGATTCAAATTCGTCCGCCATATAAATCCTTTCCGAAATATAACCTGTTCCGTAATTTTTTAACCCATCCCGTGATTTGTTTTTATTTTAAAATTTAATGATTATTTATTATATATAAAAGTTTACAAATCATATCATCCTCTAAGACCACGGGACATTATACCATGGGACAATTTTTGGTTTTATACAATCTTTTCTAAATGAGACTGATTTAATATGTCTAATATTTGTGGTATTAAAAAAGAAGATTTAATCCGTATTGAAGCGTCGGATTAATGATATTTTAATTTTTTTGTTATTGTTGATTCAAAAACCCGTCCCGCCAAACCCGTCCGGCAAAAAAACTCATTTATTTTATTAATGTTCTTATTTATGATACGATTCTGAATCATTGTCTAAATAATTTAATCGATGTAGAACGTTGAACACACATTTTCGTCAATTAGATCATATATGTCTGTTTTTTAAATTTCGAATCACAGTATATGCAGAAAAAAAAATTGATTTTTTTTTTAGTTTATGTATTATATGATGATTCAAAACAGTTAAAAACAAATCAAACAAAGATGATAGGAGAATCATAATTATAAATTTTAATCAAATCTTCTAAATATCTAAATTATTAAATATGGAATATCCGGTGTATGAGTTGGGTTTAATTTAACCCGATCCAAGTTTATTTTTGTGAAGGAATTTTTAAAACGGGTCGGATATCCGATATACCCGTAAGATTTTTTACCCACCCGTCACAAAAAGTGATGCAATTATACTAGTATAGATATATATTTAATAAATAAAGAAATTTCACAAAAGAATACTCATTATACGCGATAATCTGTACGAATAATCTAACGCGATGCCACTGCCATTAACATCTTATTGGTAACAAGGGTTCTATGATACTTATTTATCCCCAAAAATGATAAGACCCCTAGTGTCTAGTGATCTCTCTGCTTCTCTTATTTCTCCTTTCTTGTGCTTGAAGGAATCTATTTTCTGAATCAAATACTTTACACGTGGGAGAGAAGTGCTTCATCATCTTCAAAGATTTGCCAAAATGTTCCTAATCTCTCTTGCCAACTTCATCTCTGAATGCTTTTCGATAAAAGGGAACTCTGCATTTCATGATGCACTTGAGATCTTTCAAGTTACCTTTGAGGATTTCAACTACCTAATTAAGGCAAAAGATATCAAAACAAAGGTGCGGTTTCTTTACTTGTTAAACAAGAAACTTGGTTAGGTACCTGACTCATATCAGGCCTCTCTATTGATGACTGTTGGATTGATAACGCAGCAGCTAAAAGCACAAGTTTTATCTGCCTCCACTCGTACTCACCCGCCAGAGATGGATCGATTAGCTCTCTTATTTTGTTCTTCTTCATCAATGGTTTAGCCTGGGAACACAAAAACAAAAGGACAAATGTGGGATTTCAACACACGCCTAGTGGCACGGTTTTCTTGGCTCTAGAACAAAAAGGCGTAAATTCAATATAACTAAACTCACCCATAGAACAAGACTTTGCTTGGAGTAATCGAGAGCTCGTCGTCCAGTAACAAGTTCTAGTAAAAGTACACCCAAGGCAAATACATCGGTCTTTTCATCTACTATCCCATGTGTTAAGTACTCTGGAGCAAGATATCTGAAACAAAAATGACGCATAATCAACCTCTGGACTTCCTTGGTAAAAACCAATATGCAAGGAAGAATATACTTAAAAGCGTATACTCACCCGAATGTGCCCTCAAACTTGGAAACAATATGGTGTGTCCAATGTTCGGGTAGCCACTTCGCAAGCCCAAAGTCACATATCTATACCAAGACATTTTCATTACAAGGAAAGAATTGAAAGTGTTTGTTTGTACTTTTAGAGCATCATTTATGTATCTTACCTGCGGCGAAAAATCATGTGTGAGAAGTATGTTCGCGGCTTTGATATCTCTATGTATGATTCTCCTGTGACATCCTCTGTGTAGATAAACTAGACCCTCTGCAATTCCCAATGCTATCTTGTACCTGATACTCCATTTCATCTTCTCCTTGGAGCCTATAATATCAACAACAATTGTTATATATATAATAACCATTAAGATGTAAGAGAGAAAGAGGGTAAAAGAGACATACTATAAAGCATAGAAGCTAAGCTCCCATGAGGTGATAACTCAAGAACAAGATGCATTCCTCCTTCAACCCCATAGCCTAAAAGCTTAGCTATATTTGGATGGTTGACATGTGCCATTATACCCATCTCTGAAAGAAAATCTACAATGATCTCTTCGCTATTTCCCCGCATCAGCCGTTTTATCGCAACCATTTGTCCATTTGGCAACATCCCTTTGTAAACTTCAGCATAACCTCCTTTCCCAATTAGATTCTCTGCCCACATCCAAACATTTGCTTTCAGTTCCATAGATTCTACTTATTCGTCATAACAATTGCAATTATAAAACATTCAGACACATTGAGAAACATTCAGACCCAAGATTACTACGAAATGTACCTAAAAGGATTGCTAATGGTCACACTAGTTTCAGTCACAACTCCATAATTATATTCAGAATCTGAATTGCAAAATATATATATTCAAAACCATGTAGAGACAGAGAGAAACAAATTCAGATAAGTACGAACCTAAAGCGAAATTGTTTGTAGCAGACTTGAGGTCAGAGAAGGTGAAGATTCTTCTAGGAGAGTGTAGAAGAAAGTGAGAATCATTGGAACCAAATCTAAAACTTTCCCTCATGCTACTACATCTTCTCAAAGAGCTCTTAACAAGACCATTGTTGTGAAAAGGAATCTTGAGATTCTCCAGAGACTTTTTGGATCTGCTTCTCAGAAGCTGAACGATCTTGCGGAAACGAGAAGAGGAAGGGTCCTTCACCGTCTCCGAGCTACCGAATTCTTCGGTTCTGAAAAACTCTTCGAGAACTCCAGTCGGCGAAGAAGAATCTGGAGCTTTCATTGCAATGCGCTGAAGAAGAAGACAAGACAAAACTGGTTTGAATTTGGACAGACACATTTTTAGCATCTAATTTTGAACTTCAAGCGGCGCACTTTTTTTATTTTCCGCGAAAAAGGTAAAATTATTAATTCTTTTTTTTTTCCTTTCTAATAATTTTTTTTTCATAAATAAAAGACATGGAAATTTTGCAAGCAAAGCTAAAGAAAAAAACATCAGAGGAGAGAGAAGAATGTCTAAATGTTTATTTGTTTCCAAATCAAAACAAACAGATTTTTTTTCGTTTTTGGCAACAACCTTAGCTAGTGCACCGACAAATCCCTATAAAACTATTTTCTATAAACCAATTTTGGTAATTGAGTGACACAAGTACACATTATGCATGAGAAATTAGACAACATCTTGTTATTATAACAAGTGTTGGACAATATTTCAGAACCGCATATTTTGGAGCAATGTAAAAGGCCAAACAGCAACTTATTTTACACATATCATACAAGTTTAGTTCGATATTAAATTGTATCAAATATAGCCAAAAACAGTAGGCAAGAATGAAGAGTAATGCAAGAAGTAAATTACTAAGAAAATAGAAAATTAATTCAACAAAAAATTGAAACATTAAAGGAAGATGTGGATTCTAAGAAAATAAGAAAAAAATATCTTAAAATAGGAAATATACCATGAAAGAAGAGAAACCAAGTACAATCTGAAACTCAATATATTCTGCTAGCTGGATGAAGTGAGAGAGAGTAAATTGTGGAGACTATCACTTAAGGTTTGATAAACCATCGCTTTCTTACCAAAATATATAGGACTGTCCAATGTTCTCTCTTTTAATGATCAAGATGATGGAGATATTAAAAATTTGAAATTGAAAAAGAAAATATGCTTTTTTGGCTTTTCGCTATGTGAATTAGATATATTTCTTAGAGGAGACTTGAAAATTGAATTTAAAAGAGAATTTTATTTTTTGTTACAAGGATTTGAACTTGCAAAACCTTTTTTCATTATATCTAAAATTTGGTTGACCAATAATAGTGGTCGAAAATATCTGACCAAAAGTGGTTGCAATTTTCTGACCAAAAAGAATGGTTGAAATTATATTTCTACCAATTTTCGACCAAATATTCAACTAGTTTACCAACTTATATATTGAAATTATAAATATTAAAAAAATTATATTCGAATTTAATTTATAATTATTTGATTCATAATAACTTAAATAAAAGCAAATGTCTTAAATAAAAGTAAATAACTTAAATAATTTAATTTATAAATATTTGATCTACGAGTGATACATAGTACGTAGATCCACCAATCTCCAAATAAATAATTACTTATAACGTTTCTACCAAACTGCACTCATTTTAGAGTAATTAAGGGATCTTTCTTTGAGAAGAAGATCTACATTAATATAGACTAATAACAATCATTTGGTTGTCATTAGTTGTTGTTACGTGGTACAAATAATACCGAAGCATACTTTACGAGTAAATCAAGGCATAATTATTGCAACAACCACTTATTTTTTCTTTGCTTTCTTGTTTGTTTTCAGTACGCCTTTACACTTTTAATAATTTACCAGCAACTAAGCTGTCGATTAGTTAAGAAATCTTAATAATTTAGCTACTATTGAAAGATTAAAAGAATAGTAAATCACAAAGACGACATTGTAGTCAACAATGACCACTTATTCAGAGGGTTTCACATACTTTCGTCCCAAGTATAAGTCCAGACCATTGTAGTCAAAATTTTATGTTTTCCTTAAATTTTTCATGACATCACAAGTCATCAATTCATAAGAAATATTCATCTTATTAAAACTTCAAAATGTATCAATCGTTACTATCTTAAACGAATTACATAATGAAAAACCAAAACAAAATACTCAATATCTAAAACTGGAAAAAACCGATGATAAGCTCAAGCCTCCGCCTACTTCTCAAACCACTTCTTGAATCTCGCTTTCATCCTCGCATCTGGTTCTCAAGTTTCCTCCTCTACATCGTCACAATCCCACAAAACTTTGACCATCACAGTCTTCTTCCGACGATCCTGCCTGACCTTCCTCTCGAGAACCTTTACTGGCCTCGCCTCCAAATTTAAGTTAGGCTGAAGATCTGCTGGAATCTTAGCCAACACCTCATCATCCTTATGGAAGCACTTCTTTAGGATCGACACATGGAAAACCTTATGAAATGCCTGCATAATCTCTGATAACTCTAACCGATAAGCAACCGGTCCAACTTGCTCAACAATCCTAAACGGTGTTAGAATAAGCGGAAATATAAAGGGAGAGTGATAGAATAAGAGAGAGTTTTGGAGATGAACTCGAGATTGAGAAATGAGAGAAGTCTCTCTTAAGTGTGTATTCCACAATTGTGTGTTACAACCTTTAAATAGAAGCTACAACTAGGGCAACCTCATACATGAGACAAATCGAGTTGAAAGAGACATAAAGAGAGATGGGAGACAAGATCCCAATGTTGAAAGCGACGGCTCCATGGTTTGTGTTCACACCATGGACCACACACACCAAACCAAACTCGTGACCCTTCTCTTCCCTTATCCACCAACGGCTATAAGGGTCTTCTAGAAGAAGTTAGATGGGCTTGGAGACTTGACAAGGCCTCCTCTCTTCTCCTTACACTCGAACTAAGACTCGGCCTCTTATTGACTTGTACGGACGTTGACTTGTACGGACAAGCTCGATGACTAGACTCGATGTGATCTCGAGCTTGATAGTGCTTGACCAATACTCCCCCTCAGGCTTAGCCGATGATGAAGAGACTAAGCTTGGAACCCGTGAAGCCTTACCTCATTAAAAACCTTAACATAGAAAACCACGTGGGAGAAAACTATGTTAAGGGAAAAATAGTATAAGGACCAGGGATTAGAGGAGATGATCAAGGGCGTGAGAGGTCCACGAGTCCAAGTTTGCTATAGATGTGGTTGCAAACTTGGAGACTCGCGGCCTTGGTGAAGATATCCGCCAATTGATCTTCACTTGGAGTATATCATGGAAGTATCACTCCTTCTTCGATCTTTTCTCGGACTTTGTGACAATCCACTTCTATGTGCTTGGTTCTCTCGTGGAAGACCGAAATGGTAGCGATGTGTATTGCGGCCTTGTTATCACAATGCATCGTAATGGGGCTTGAGGATTCAATGCTAAAGTCTTTAAGAAGTGCTTTGAGACAAGTGAGTTCATTCGTTAGCTTCTTCATTGCCCGGTACTCTGACTCCGCGCTTGAGCACGATACTACTTTTTGCTTCTTTGTCTTCCAAGTGACTAGGTTCCCTCCGATGAATGTGCAATAACCGGTAGTGGATCTTCTATCTGTGGTGTCTCCGGCATAATCCGCATCACAATATCCAACTATTTCGGTGCTTTCATTCTTTCCCATCCAAATCCCTTGGCCCGGACTCCCTTTGATGAATCTAAGGATCCTTTCCAACAAGTTCCAATGGTATTTGGTTGGAGAATGCATGTGTTGGCTGACCTGGTTCACGGCAAAGCAAAGATCAGGTCGAGTTATGGTTAAGTAAATGAGCTTACCAACGAGCCTTCGATATTATGCGAAATCTTCATATGGTTCATCCAATGGGTCTAGCGGTGCATTCTTCTTCTTTCCCCCCCCCCCCCCCCCCGGTTCTCTTGACCGTGTAACCATCAACAAGTGGTGTCTTGGCAGGCTTCGCTCCGAGCTTCCCTGTCTCATTCAAAAGATCAAGAGCATATTTTCTTTGGGAGAGGAATAAGCCCTCCGGAGAGCGACATACCTGAATACCAAGAAAATACTTTAGTTCACCAAGATCCTTAATATCAAAGATAGACTTAAGGAAAGACTTAGTGTCTTGAATACCTTCCTTGTTGTCTCCGGAGATGATAATATCATCTACATAGATGAGGACAACAATGATACCTTGATCGCTTTGAAGTGTGAAGAGAGTATGATTAGATTCGGAGCCTCTAAAGCCGCGGTCTTTGAGAGTGGTACTTAGCTTATGGTACCAAGCTCTCGGAGATTGCTTTAAGCCATATATCGCCTTTCGAAGTCTTAGAACCTTTCCCGGAGAGACTGAATCTTCAAGACCGGGTGGAGGTGTCATATACACTTCTTCTTCGAGTTCTCCTTGTAAAAATGCATCTTTCACATCCATTTGCCATAGATCCCATGAGAGATTGGTAGCGAGGGAAATAACAACTCGAACCGTGTGTAGCTTAGCCACCGGAGCAAAAGTGTCCGTGTAATCATTTCCATAGGTTTGAGTAAACCCTCGGGCTACTAAGGGAGCCTTATACCTCTCCACATCACCATTGCTCAAATATTTGATGGTAAAGACCCACTTTGAGCTAACGGCTTTCTTTCCCGGAGGAAGCTCCGCTTCATCCCAAGTATGGTTGCGGACCATGGCACCGGTTTCATCTTCCACCGCATCCAACCATCTTTTATCCTCTTTGGCTTCATCATAGGTTTGAGGAACCCTATGTTCTTCTATCTTTCCAAGAAAGGCTTGATGATCGGTTGGTAAGAGGGCAAGAGAACACACGGTTTGTATAGGGTGAGCCACCGCTTCATTGTTGTAATACGCTCTTGTATTCCTCCAATTTGATGCGAAAAACTTAGGTCTTGTGCTTCTTCTAAGGTGTGTCGTGACTTGTTGTTGTGGTAAGTCATCGTCTTCTTCCTCTTCTTGAGGTAAGTCCTCTTCCGATTGACTCTCATCCACTTCTACACTTGATTGAGTGGCTTCTACACTTGGTTCTTGAGCTTGAGGAGTAACACTTGGTACCGGCTCTTGAACTTGAGGAGTTACACTTGGTGTTGATTCTTCTTCAAACGTGTCACTTCTTGTTGATTCCTTAGGTCCTTCTTGTGAAGAGGTACCATTTCCAAGGTGATCAAGAAGAAACCGTAGACTACTAGCTCGATTCGTGGTCGAGTGAGAGAGATCTTTCAAGCTATCCCAATCTTTCTTCTCATAGTATCCTTGTTCTTCAAGAAACTTCACGTCTCTAGACACATACATACGATGAGCTGTCGGGTCATAGCACTTGTATCCTTTTTGAGTTGTCGAGTATCCAATGAACATACATCGAGTACTTCTTGCTTCCAATTTGTTTCTTTGGTCACCGGGTACTAATACAAAACAAACACACCCAAATACACGTAAGTGATCAAGAGATGGTTTAGTCTTGTTGAGTACCTCAAATGGAGAAACGTCTTTTAGAAATTTTGTTGGAGTTCTATTGATAAGATAGCATGCCGTCATTACGGCATCTCCCCAAAATCTTTTGGTGACGTTTGTATGGAACATCATCGATCTTGCAACCTCCATGAGGTGTCGATTCTTCCTTTCCGCCACACCGTTTTATTGAGGAGTATACGGGCAACTTGTTTGATGAACAATGCCATGTTTTGCTAGATGTTGTTTGAATTTGTGACTTGTGTATTCTCCTCTATTATCCGATCTTAGTACCTTAAGTTTAGCATTAAAATGATTAGTCACATAGTTTTGGAAATTAAGGAAAGCATCAAACACACGATCTTTAGAAGGTAACAATGTGATCCAAGTATATTTAGATTTCTCGTCAATAAAGGTCACAAAGTATTTGTTATTGTCTCTAGATATGCATGGAGAAGTCCAAACACCCGAGTGAACTAAATCAAAACAATGCTCATAAATAGTTGAAGACTTAGGGAAAATAGATTTGCAATGTTTTCCGAGAATACAAGACTCACACTTCGAGTTATCAAAGGAAACATTAGGCAACATTA